GACGATAACGGAAAAGCTTCGATTCTTACAATTCCTTACAAGCGACTAAAGTGGGCTTTGTGAGACGAGTCGCTAGCCTTACTCGTCTCGGCATGGTCTGGAGTACTGATATCTGTGAGAGCCTTGGTGTACAGCATCTACTTTTCCAGATTGAGAAGTCACAGCTGCGATGGTTTGGGCATGTGTTGTGAATGCCTCCAGAAAGGAAGGCTAAGCAGCTGTTTACTGCCCAACCGACCAGCCGAAAGCCTAGGAGAAGGCCATGATTAACCTGGTGTAGATAATATGGAAGTAGTATGCTCCAGACTCCGGCTGTTTTTTGCGGAAGTTGAGGCTGTGGCTCAGGATTGAGAACGTTGGGATGTCTGTCTGACGCATCTGCCTCCTTGACCCGAAAGGAAAAGCGGTCGAGGAGGAGGAAGATATTCGATTATCGCAGATGCCAAATGCAGCAAGGCAGTGCTCCCGAAATACTGCCATCACTAATGCTGACTTACGTATAGTTCGGGAAGTCGTCTCAGACATCTTCTACATATTTCTTACGTTGATCATCGCAAATTTCTTTGCTTTCTTATCCTGTTATTATTATCCTTACACATTGGAGTGATTATTGTTTTCTTCCATTTTTTAGAGAAGTTTTTCTCTCTCTGAGTCTGAGTTTAAACTGCGAGCATACGTTGCCCACTAGATTCCATTGCTTAGTTTTATCCCGTTCACTCCTGTAGGATTTTTTTCCTGTTGATGCTTCAGCTGTTCCCTCCTAGCTTGATGAATGGTGAGGATCAGAGGCAGCAATTTACGATCGGTAGCCAATAGTTCTTTGTAGCTGGAGTGCAATAATCTTTCGAAATGCTCAGTCCATCGTTGCAGACAGATGTTTTGTGCGGAACCTGATAAAATACAGGTAGTACTAACCTGCGGCAAACCTCAGTGTATTCTAGAATGGCGATGAATCTTCTGGTATCTGAACGCAAATAGCCTCCTCGTTTGAACCTTAAGTATAAGGGATGGTTGTCATCAGATACACAGAATAGGAAAATTCTTTCGTTGCATACACGCAATAACTACTGAAATGATATGGATAATCATAGCAGCAAAAGTTGAAGAGTTTCATTCAAAGGTCGTATCGAGAGTTTCAGGAACCTCATGAGGTAAAAGCGCCCTTTGCCTACTTTGGCGACCGTGCAATTTATATGCATGACCACATCACCAGTCTATCTGATCGTTTAAGTAAATCTCCAGATACTTAACGGGGTGAGCGCGTAGGATCGGTTCGTTCTTAACAGTTGTTCTATGTTTGACTGCTGACAGCAAATCTTTTGACGTTGTTTATTACTGTCGTTTCATAGCTGTTACTGTTAATCTTCAATTGTTGAGTTCGATCCACTACTCAATTTCCTTACAGGAAATTGTGACGTCTCTGTTAACTGAAATCAATTCATATGCTCAGCGTATCGAACACAGACGGCAGGGCTGGTAACTTTCCACAACTTAGAAACTGCTGTTTTTTATACCTGCCGGAGAGATTACCCAGTATATTTTCTACTGCAGTTCTATATGCCATGCGATACCATAGTTTCATCCATATTCTCTTTTCGTGAATGATATGCATAGGTTTGACTGTGCAGAGCTTTCTTATGGCAGCCATCTGTTAAATGCAGATAAACTCGAAGAGAAAATCATGACAACAGCTATTAAAAATATATTTGCATTTATGAAGCTTTTTGACCTTTTCGATTGCCGTAGTTAGTTTCTGCTCTGTGTATTGGAGGATGGTTCATTTTAACTGTTTAAGACATCATTACTCTGATCAGTTCTGCTTACCGTTAGATTGCAGTAAGAAATGGAGGAGGAGATAGTACACTTATAAGTTTATCCAGGGATTGACTTATAACTGAACCGATGGTTTATTTGCCTGTATTTTCTGTTCCTTCTGTGATTCAGTATTATTTTCTCAATTGGGTGTGTTGCTGCATGTCATCACAATCTGGCTGATGCGTGGATCTTCTTCGTGCTATCTGTACCTTGTATCTACGGAAATGCACCAATTCCAGAATACGGGATCACATGCTTGAACAAGGTGTGGCATATGGTTTATGTTTTCTCTATCCGATAGCGTTGCCGTAGTGGTCTGCAGACCGTCTAGGACTTTTTTGCGTAACCGTTTTGGTGCACATTGCTGGTTGTTGTCAGCGCTCGGTGCTGCGATCGTTGCATTGAATCTGTAAAACTGGACAGTGGCCAGCTGCATCAACCGCGTAATTCAGTCTGTCATGTTATATATCAATCGGCAGCTCGCTGTAATTAAGGTACAGTGCCTTTGTACAACTTAATGTCGTTAGAGGATTTTCATTTTTTATTTATAATTCCATCGTGGTAGCTATACCAGCGCCTTTTCACTTGATCGGGAGTCAGAATTTATATAATTGCCGCTGGTCATCTCTATTAATTACGTGATTTAGCAGGTATTTGTAGATGCTTTCCATTGATAGGCAATATAGTAGAAGTCCAGTAATGATTCATAGAGATGACTATCTGCCCAGTGACGTGGGCAATTCAAACACGCGACCACAGAATGCGCCCTAACATAGTGACATGGCACAGACGTCACAATGAAATTGTAATAGGAAATTCACTTGTTTGACAACTGAATCGTACTTCATTCACAGAGAACTATTCAGCCAAATCATGCAGTTGGCCACCGTCCAGTTATACAGATTTAATACGGCGAGTGCAGGACTGAGCACTGATAACAGTCAGTGGTCGGTATCAAAACGTCCCATTGCCCTCTGCAGAGAATCACGCCATTGTCGCTGGTTAATCGATTAGAAAATCTGTATGGAACACTTAAAATTAAAACTCAGCATAAAGGAAATGGTGTCACATACGCATGCAACCCAGAAGAGAATGCGATGAAGCCTAGCTTCTGAATACTGTCATTTGATCAAACATTTTCATGTTTATAATGATCCAATGAAGTTTAATAAGATTTAGGCTTTCAAAAGTTTTGTTTAGTATTGCTTTAAATAGCGTAGTTTACTACGTTCTTTTGCAGTCAGAGTTTGTGTTAAAAATATATATCTTAATAGCGTCATAAAAGCATGATTCCTTCGTTCTACCCTAGAAGATGTTAACATGTCTTTGAATAACTAGCTTTCTTGCTGTAAGTTCGATATTTGAATCTCGAAGGGTTTGAAAATTTTGATTATTCCTTCGACGGCGAAATTCATATATCCGCTCTGTTAAGTATTTGTAGGATATAAGATGGTATGCATAAACTTGTGTATTATTTTGTCTTATTTACTTACTTTTTTGTACGTGTAGTGAACGGAAGGAGGTTATTGGTGGCGGATATTTGAAAATGACCGATGCTTTCTGCTGAGCTACTTGGTTTTCCTAATAATTCAGTTTGTTGTTCGAGTTCAAGCGCATAGCAGAACATGAAAAGTTAGTAGTAAATTAAACATTACAAATATTCAGCATTTAAAAGGACTATTATGCGGACTGACAGCCATTAATGTAATAGTGTTGTGGTGATGAATCTGGATTATTTCAGGATACAATAATTTGAAGCAGCACTTAGCTGAATTTTTCCGAAAACATATGGAGAACGATAAAGTAAATTTGTGTGCAGTTGCACGTTTTATTAATACATCTGTCGTAACGTTTAGGTGATAGATGTGAAGGACGTTGAAGAGTTTGTCGAACAGTTGCGCAAGAACCCGGCCGAGACATGCGAAGTGCCGTACTACTGTCGTTGAAGTACATTCTATAAAATGACAGTTTCTATTTTTCACTTTGTAATAATTCTGTATTATATTTATCGTCGACACAGATATCAAGTTTTGTTTCTTCTGTGTTTTGTTGTTGCTTTTCATCGCCGTTTTCATCATCGTTTTCTGAATTCACCGAGCTCTGTTCATCGTCATTACTGTCAATGATGACCTTCTGCGACAGAAACAGTTGAGACTCGGTG